CCAAAACGTACTCTAATTATAGCCATTGTGGTCCGGAAAGACCTATAGCGGTCCGGAAAAGCAAGTACCCAAAAAGTACTCTAATTGTAAATATATCGCGATCCGGAAAAACGTACAGCGGTCCGGAAAAGCAAGCACCTAAGACATTACGGTCCGGAAAGACATGCAGCGGTCGGGAAAAGAGGATAGCACGAGACAGAGATGGAGACAAACAGAAGGAGAGAGAGAGACAGAGAGACAGAGAGACAGAGAGAGGAAGAGCGAGAGGAGAAAGAGAGCGTTGTAAATGGTGAGCAGCAAGTGGTTTCAGAGTACGTTTTGGGTACTTGCTTTTCCGGACCGCTGCACGTCTTTCCGGACCGTAATATCTACAATTAGAGTACTTTTTTTGGGTACTTGCTTTTCCGGACCGCTGTATGTCTTTCCGGGCCGCAATGGCTACAATTAGAAGACGTTTTGGGTGCTTGCTTTTCCGGACCGCTGTATGTTTTTCGGACCGTAATGTTTACAATACGAGTACATTTTAGGTGTTTGCTTTTCCGGACAGCTGCACGTCTTTCGGACCGTAATATCTACAATTAGAGTACGTTTTGGGTTCTTGCTTTTCCGGACCGCATCAGGTCTTTCCGGACCACCATGGCAACAATTAGATTACGTTTTGGGTGCTTGTTTTTCCGGACCACTGCAGGTTTTTCCGGACCGCGATATCTTTAATTAGAGTACCCAAAAGAGGTCTGAAACCACTGGGGGTACCCAAAAAACAAGCCCAAAAGAGGTCTGAAAACACTCTGAAACACCTTCCTGTTCACCATCTCCCAAAGCTGGGGGTACCCAAAAAACAAGTCCAAAAGAGGTCTGAAACCACTATGAAACACCTTCCTGTTCACCATCTCCGGACTGCTGCTGCATGTCTTCCGGACCGCGTTCGCTGCTTTATCTCTATCTATCTATCTGTTTATTTATTCATTTATTTGTTCCTTTTTCTTTGGATGGTTTATTTACCACCCTGGTTATCTATGTTTATCAATTCGAGATATTAATATTTAAGATCTAAATCAGATACGGTAGTAGTAGTAGTAGTGGTAGTAGTGGTAGTAGTGGTAGTAGTGGTAGTAGGAGTGGGAGTGGGAGTGGGCGTGGGCGTGGGCGTAGGCGTGGGAGTAGGAGTGGTGGTGGTGGTAGTAGTAGTAGTAGTGTAATAGTAGTAGTAATAGTAGGAGTAGTAGTAGTAGTACTAGTGTAATAGTAGTAGTAATAGTAGGAGTAGTAGTAGTAGTTGTAGTAGTAGTAATAGTAGTGGTAATGTTGTAGTAGTAGTAGTAGTAGTCGTAGTGGTAGTAGTAGTAGTAGTCGTCGTCGTAGTAATTAAAATGTTAATAAAAATAATATTTATAATAATAATGGCAATAATACTTGCGCGTACCTTGCGCCGCCCTTGCACGATGTAGGTTTTAAACCATAGAAAGGATACGAGAATAAATCCTTTACTAAAAACCTTTCTGTAATTTTTAGACGATTCCCATCTATATCATTAAAATTATCCTAAATTAAAAACATAATTAATTTTAATTAATAAATAATACATTTTACTAATTAAATTAATATATTTTAAATATATATTATTATATTAAATTTTAAAAATTATTTAATTTATATTAAATATAAAATATAAATTATATATTTATTATATTCACTAAAAATTATAATATTTTAATTTAATTATTATTTTTTTTTAAATATACAATAATATATATATATAATATATTTTATATAAATTAACATTATAATATATATATAATATATAATATATTATATACCTATTTTATCCAATATATTCTGAGATGTTCTTTGATTTTTTTCCAAGATTTAATTTTATTTAGTTAAAATAGTATATAATCCTATGTCGAATTCCTTTGTTGTTCTATCCTAGTATCTGTTTATTCTTATAGCCTCTTATTTTATTCTGCAAAGATTCGCCTCTTACCATCCTGTTGTCCTGATAATTTTTTACCTTGTTCTCCATTTCTGATATTTATTAATGTTGCTCCGGTTGGCCTGCTCCTCGCTCGTCCTGCTGCCCCGCTGCCTTGTCCTTATTTATCCCCGACCCCAACTGGTTCAGGAGTAGGGGGGGTGGATCCTACATTTCTGATAATGTATGAACATAAGGGGGGGGGTTAATTCCCTCACTTTTTGCCAAAAATGTATGGGAACTAGCAAAATGAGGCATGTATGAGTGCCAGATGCTGGAAATGTATTATTGGTAGGGCTATTGAACCTGAAAATGTATGCTTTGTGGGGGGCACCACTGACAAGAGCCAATGGATACATAAACTTTTCTAAATGTATGCAAGCTTGGGGGTGTCTGCACCTCAATCCAATTGATCTTTTTTTTCCTGGGAAACCTACTGAAACCCATAGGGAAACCTGGGAATACCTGGGGTCACCGAAAATATTCTGCGCTGAAGACCCCGTTAGCTTACGCTTTTGGATTTTTTGGAAGCAAAAACATGCAAACATATGGAAACACGATCAAGCACGCATCGCTCCCACTCCGAAGACATGACACTATTTTCTGACATGTATGCATTGCAGGGGGTACCAATGACTACCTTAGCCAGATCTATTCCCTCCATTTTCCAAAAATGATGTGCTTTTCGGCTACCCAACCCCCTTAAAATACATTTTTCAAAGAAGGGTATTCCCCAGAAAAAAATTAAACATTCCCGGGGATCCTGGAAAAACCAAACCCGTAAAATGTATTAAACCACCCCCCAAAATAAAAGATCCTGGGGGGGTTGGATATCCCAACCCCGACCCATGGATCCTACGTTCAACGTACACCCACCGGTCAAATAATGTATTTAGGGCGGTCCTGGGGAATCAAATTCTTGGAGAACGGTAAATGTATTTTTTTACCTGACCTCTCCCCCCCCTAAAATACATTTTTAGGGGTGGGTGATCCTTATTTTATGTTTTGGTCTGTCTTGTGGGCTGTCAGCCGATTGCCTTATTGGGTTGGCTGTTGCTGTGTTCATCCATTATGTTGATTTTTCGGCCTGTGTTTGTTTACATTTCATGAATATATACAGGTGATTTCATCTCCCCCTAGAAGTTTTACATATATCTTCTCTCATTATGCCAGGAACAGAAATGCTTTGATTACTTTCAATTTTTGACAGAATTTAACAACCGAAGATGCAATTCCGTCATTTTCAGCCACTCTCCAACCTTGCTTTGGCTTGAGCTTCAAATCGCAGGAGAGTGCAAAGAAATCAGACACATTTAATTCGGAAGGACTAAGGATCTCACATCTGGATCTCCTAGCAGCAAACAATTTGCGTTAAAGGCAAAAAGTAACAAAGTCGAGAGCGCGTAGGAATCTGAATATCTAGTCACTCTTGTCCTTGCTGTGCACGGAGTATGCGCACCTTAGTGTTGGCAGTGGCAACTGTTGCCTTGATCATATCCACCTTCTTCCTCCGTAGAGTGGCCCAGTATGGTCCAGTGGTGTAGCGGCTGTAGCCCAAAGAGTTGCACTGCTGCCCTCTCAACTAAGTCTCCTACTGAGGACTTTGCTAGCCTTCTCGCTCTCCTATACAGCAGATTGCGGCATGCATGAGAAAGCAAAAAGAAAGCATCTGAGGCAATCTGCACAGTATCTGCCCCGGACAAAGGCAACTCGAAGTCCACACATTTTTCTGGCGCCTCCTTTCCACTCAAGTCTCATAGGGGCATTGTTCATGCCACTTGCCAGTTCTGTACACTGTACAAGCATGAAAATCGCGCAATCATGCGTAATCCAAATCCAGGCATCTTTGATGCTGGATTCATCTCATAATCCTGAGAAACGTTCTCCTCTCAACCTAGCGTCAAGAGAGAGGCAAAACTGAAATTCCCCCGGAAGGAGTTTTCCATGATCTGAAGGCCTTTCAAATCTCTTGCCTGAATCTGGCAACTGCAAGCCTTGCAGCCTAGATTGGCTTTTGACTGCTGTTGAATGCTTTTGATTTGTCAGCTTTGTGCATTTCATCATCGTCTGAGCTTCGCTGCACCTTTGTGCACATTGATGCCCATTTATCCTCTGTGACTCTGTGACAAAGATTCTGAGCTCATTTGGACTGTGCTGGTCTCGACCGCTCTGGGATTCCTTGGCCTGGGCTTCCATCTTCGCGGCTAACTCCATTGGCACCGTCAGCTCTTATGAGCGCCACCCTTCAGTCCCAAGAATCGTCGCTGAACGCATCACCGAGAACGTCACCCACCAGCAAACAAAACTCTTCTAGAACTTCTGGGGGAACATCTTGACCTTGCAGTAGCTCTAGGGCATCACTGAAGCGCTCTTCAGGAGTTCGAATGTCACACGAGAGGACAATCTCAACTCCGATTGTCAGTGCTTCTGCAGAAGTCTCATCATAACCTGCTTGCTGAAGTGCATCTCGAAGCCATGGAAGTGTATTTTCCAAACTTGCTGGAGCAACTGTACTCGCTTCAGAATCTGAGTTCTCCGGATCCTCCGGATCCTCTATGCCATCCATATCCTGAATGTCTTCCAGCAAAGGCTTTACTGGCCATCGCAAAAAGGCCCCAATCTTATAGCCTCTGCAAAACATGGCAGAGGAATCAGATGTTGCTTGGATTCGTGTGGTGTCAGACCCACAAGAGGAGGCCATCTTTGTCCACTTTTGGAGGTTTTTGTGATCATCACAAATAAGAAGCAGCTTCACTGCACCCATGTCCAAGGCTTGTTCGGTTTCAGCTTCGCCATAGCAAATCCATTCGTAGCTGGTGTCTGACGCTTCGGCGCATTTCATGAATTCGTCCACAACGTCACCTTCCAATCTTTGGACATGCTGCTTCCTGGCTACTGAAACTTTACTTGCAGCTTTTTGTAATCCTATCCAGTTCGCACTGCAGCTCAGGCTTACAATACAGGAAATCCTTCGTCGTAGCAAGGGAGGTAGTTGGGCAACGAGCTTGTGCTTCATGTTGGCACAGCCGCCAAGGACTAGCCCTTGAACACTGCTGAATTCCTCAGGGACGCAGGCTTGACATGACTTGACAGGCAAACAGAATCGTATATTTCAACAACCATGACATTTCATGACCCAGTTCCCAGCCCAATGACGAAAACACTCAGGCATCCAAGGAGGAATATGACACACTGGCAGCATCTGGCAGCATCTGGCAGCAATGTCCATGCTGAAAAATAATAGATGTAAACTGTAAACGCATTTGGTGAGCCCTGTGCCATGCCTCGGCTGCTCGGGCAGCCACTTTCCGCAGGAACTCCAATTCTTCAAGTTGCCGTGTCCTTGAAAATCGAGCAGCTGATTGCCCACCGCGCCGTGTACGGGAAGCGATATTCGACTGAACTCGAGCAACCTTGTGCAGTGGTACACCTAACAGTCCAAGGGTTGGAACGGTTGTAGTATCACCCTCCTGGTGCCTTCTCTAGTCCTTTAACAGCTTAAGATGTAAGGTCTCCCGCAAAGAATAAACCCCTCCTGTAGAGTGAATCATGTGAATCCAACATCACCTCCGTTGCAAGACCAATTTGCGCCCTAGCCTCAGGAGGGGCAATTATATAAATGAAATTAAGGCGTCTGCAACGTCAAGTTTGCCGACAAATATCTGGCTCTCCATGGCTCTCCCTTCCTTCGCTTTCCAGCACCAGTACAAGTCAGTTATCTTTTCAATCTTCCAAAAGTGGTTCCAAAAGTAGCCACAACGGCGTGCAATTTTTCATCTCTCATCTGCACAGCGGGCTCCGCACCCGCCGCTTTAGGGAGCCTACTTTTCGACCCTCCGGAGCCACAAATCATTGGAAAAACACGGTGTTTCGCGACTTTTTTACCTTTTCGCGGACCTGGATCTTCTTTCTTCTGAGACTTTCTCTATGGTTTGATATTCTTTCTTCTTCTCTTCTCTTCTCTGACTCTTCCCACCTCTGCTTTTCATTTGTCCATATTGTCGGAAGTTTGACTTCTAAACTTCCTTCGACAAGTTATCTTTTCAATCTTTCTGCATCTTGCTTCTGGCCACTTTGCCAAGCCCGCCTGGAAGCTGGCCGTAGTTAGGTGGCGCTATGGCCAGCGAAGCCTACAGCGAACATCAAAACAACAAATTAATGCACCATTGCACCTCTTGCCTTAGCGTGATTGACATCTTCAACAATTTCAGCAATATCGAATATATAACCCCTAACATCAGGACTAGCACTGGCTAAATCTCCAAGAATATAACTGGAACGTATTAACACCACAGGACCATTTGCGCTTCTTCTTTAGGACAAGGGATTCACACAAACAACTGCACTAAACATCACAAAGCCGCGCACCTCGCCCCCATCGATGACCAAAACTCCAAACTCTGATGCAACGTCTGCTGAAGGCCCTGATCCATGAACAGCCATTTTCTCCTTGGATCGTGAAAGATGTGAAAGAAATTTGCGACTATGGTCGTCTTTTCTGCAAGTGGCCCAAAACGTGAAATGTCTCTACACGATATCTTTAACTCCTCAGCACAGAAATGAGACAGCCCTACAAAACCAAGCGGGGTCACGGGAAAAGGCGGTGGTAGGACAGGAGGCGTCTGATTGTTGTTTGCGTTCTTTTTGAGCAAAATGCTGCGAATAATCACGTCGTGCATCTTGTTGCATCTTGTCCTTCCTAATATTGCAAAAGCAAGGCATTTGGATTCAAACCGTTTCTCGCTTTTGCGGCATTGAACACTTGTTATGAACATTCCGCCCTCAACGTACCAGGAACGGCCATACAATGACACACTTCGATCACTTTGTCAAGTCTTCCGCAAGGCGGTCCTCAACGCGTCTGGATCCACTTGCCCTTCGTGGAGGTACAGCCTCAAAAAATGATCTCCGAGCACGTAAACATGCTCCACCTGCACAATCCTGCCCATGTCTTGGGAAACTCCTAAGGATTTAAAGTAGATTGCACATCCAAGCCCAGCATCAACAAGGAACATGGAATGAACATGGAATGAACATAAATAAATTGAATAAGTTCAAGGCAAAGACATCTTGTGGCACAAGATGGCATAGTCCTTTGATCCGTCAAGACCGCGGTCTTTGACATTTTGCCTGACAAATGTTTGACCTGCCCTTAGACCTGAGGAGCTTCATGGACCTTTGCAAGTTCCTCAGCCTCACATATCCTCACATTCAATGAGTTCAATGCATTTCTCTTCTAAACATGTCGGATTTTCTGCAGCCGCTTCAAAGCTGAGTTGTTCGAAGAAAGCTTTGCCATTGTATCAGGAGGTGACCGCCTGAGCTGCACAGCAAACAGGTGAAGCACCAACTTGATGCCATCAGAACCATGTGATGCGGCTCGTGGTACAAATAAGTATGCCACTGCTGAGCATTGACAATAACACCGGCCTGAGTTTCTGCTGTTAGTATGACATGACAGCGTTTAACTTTTGAAACCAGCAGGGTGTTCCCTCATTCAAGCCTTGATCTGAGATGCCAGCCAGTTCAATCAACTCGGAAATGTTGACAGCGTCCTCAAACAAATTCAAGAGCTCAAAGCCATCATACAATCATATCAGGTTGGTGGTTTCAACCCCTCTGAAAAATATTAGTCAGTTGGGATGATTATTCCCAATATTCCCCAATATATGGAAAAATAAAAAATGTTCCAAAGCACCAACCAGATATACAATCTATAGAAACAAAACTTCCATCAGCGATGTGTTGACTCACCTGCAACACCTACAGGGGAACACTGCTTCGGCTCGCTCACCCTGGCCTTGCTGGCCTCTACTGCCAGGGCTTCCCCCAGAAATGGCAACGCCTTTCAGCGCTGCAATTCCCATGTTTTCGTAGCTGGTTGATGGTTTCAACGTGTTTCAACATGTTTCAACCCAGAAGGTACGGGTGGACAAATCATATAAATAAAATTAAATAAACGTATATCATATCATGTGAATGTTAAATGATGTCAAACGTTAAAACATGTCAAAACCATTCTGAAACCACCAGGCATGATTGGTATGACATGGTATGACCGGCAATCCTTTCCAGGCAAACTTCAGGTTTGGATTTAAAACAACAGATTGATATGAGAGTAGCAACAGATTGATACACCAACATTGGGCCCATGACCATCCATGGCCATCCATGGCCCATCTTTGCCACGACAAGTTCGTAGCGCCTCTGCGTAGCAACCTTGACTGATTTGCAAATTGGCCTTGGCTCCATGTTGGTTGGAAACTCATGGAATTTTGATGAATTTTGTCCAGCAACTTCTTTCAACTTTGTGCGCTCCGAGTCACAGCATGCCGAGCTTGTTTTCCAAACAAAGGTGACTGTCTGCCTGCAATGCCGTGACATTCTTTCCTGCTTCAGCTGGACAAGAAACAAAAGTGTGAGATCTCATTGAGTCGAGTCCAACGATCAACGGCCTACAGTTTGCTCCAGCAGTTTGTAGGCAGCTGAATAGTGCTCCTCTGCTTTGGGATACTCCTCAACACCAGGGGCGCAGTGTGACTATGTGTGACTCGTGACTAGTGATGCGAATGCTTCACAAGGATTCCTCTGCCACGAGGTAGCATTCAGCCAAGGAGTCATGGACCTGACGACAAGATCGACAAGGAACACCTGTGCCAAAAGTCGTGTCAAACTACTATCGAACTGCCCGTCCAAGTCACCTTGGCTCTCATTACCAAATCGTCTGGCTCTTGTTGCATGTGGAGCTGCAAAGCCTAGGCAAAATTCATCACTGAATCAAAATGATGCAAAATGACAGAACCAGTTCGGCATGCTCAACATTGCTCGGTGCGCAGTGCGTGCTTGCCTCTTCCACGACTTCCCGTCCACGGAAGAACTCCTCCATATTGCCCTCTTTGAACGCCTGCCTGTCAGCTGTGTGCGAGGCGCGGGCTTCGCTTGTGGTTTAGTTTCTGCAACTCGCTAGCACGACTAGTCATGGCAGAACAAGAGCAAACGGCACAAAATGCGAATGACTGCGAATGCCAAATCACTTCAAAATTCAGACTCAGCGAAAGAAAGTGCTCAGCCCTGTGCGCGGCTGTGATCTTTCCAAGGTCCCACTTGTCGAACCAGTCCAGGTTTCCCTTTTGCAAAGACATTGTTGCTATGAAGCTGAATTGCAACAAAATTGCACAAGAAATGTAACGAAATCATGCATCAAGAATCAAGAACATTCAAAAAACATTCATCATCATTTCATCTGTCAGCATCCGTAAGTTCCCTTCCCTTCTAGAAAACCATGCCTTGGCGTTTTGAGATGCAGTTGCCATCCTGTACCGCTACAAACAGCGAACAGAGAAAAGCCAGGCAAGGACACGGGACCTGCTGAAGTAGATCGCGGCTTCTTCGATTCGGCCAAGAGCCTTCAGGGCCCAGGCCTGTCAACACCAGAATATCTACACATATGTCATCTGAAAATGCTGAAATATGTTATTAATCTGTCACTACATGTCACTACCAAGTAAGGTTACTAATTATGCAATCTAATTAATTCTAATTACATCTAATTACTAAAAGTTAGTAGTATTTAATTTTACTGAAATCTTTGCAATTGAAACCATGATAAACCCACGTACTGGGTACTGTACTTTATTAGTCTTTATATTATACCCTATTGTACTCTGAGATACTCTGAGATTTGCACCTGGTTCCGATAAAGCGTAGCGAAAAACTCCGGTGCCTGGAAGTCAAACGAGGTCGTAATTCGGCTCACACATACAAATTGCAATCGATTTTTCTCGGAAGTTCGAAAACGATGTAACATGATGCAACATTGCATGAATCTACAGCCTCATCTGCATTGTATGGGCCTTAGAAACCAAGGTGAGAGCCACGATGGCGACCGTCGATCATTCTTGTAGTATCAAGGGAAACATGGCCGTTCTATGCCGTTCTATCTTCTTTGGCCCTGACTGTACAGCTCCAGCTCATAAAGCATTTCCTAAGCTCCATTTTCAGATGTCTCACTGACTTGTGCACAATTGTCCGTGTTTGCCGCTGCAGAACCACAAGCGCTCACTACTCATGCAGCACTGAAACTGTCTCTGCAGCTGGGGCACTAAAGCCTCCATATGCCGGCTCTGCTTCATGCGCACAGTCGAAACCTAAACCACAAACCCTCAAAGCAAAGGACGCAGAAGACGCATTCCTTGATTCTCGTACCGAATCATCTGGCTACACGTGCACACTTGAATCGAGCAATGAACAACCAAGCACAATATAGATATGTGTCCCTTTGTGTCCTGTGTCTAGCTGACTGGCTGATTCTGATCTACAGCTGCAGCATTCTACAGCCTTGAATTCTGGGGTCTACACGTGATTCAGCCACTTGATCATCCAAACACCTCCCCTCTGGGAGACGAAAGGACCACACCGGGATAGTACTGCATCAGCCTTGTCAAGCTTGTAGTTCTTCATGTAAACACCGACCAAATCCAAGGCATTCCCAAGATTTTGTCCGTTGTGCAAACCACCACCTGACCTTCCAAGGTCCGAAGCCATGGCTGCCTCAATCTCAGCCACCTTTTCTTCATTCATTTCTTCTCCTTCTTGAAACATCTCATCTGTCCAATTCCGTTTCAGCAAGGCCGCTTTGTCCCTGAAAGCTGTTGCGAGCTTGTCCCTCACCTCCACCATGGGGTGATCTGCTGTGGCTTCATCACCAAGAGATTCAACGACCGCTTGCAAGGACTGAAAAAGTTCAACATCATCTTTGGACAGCGCGTCCCAATTGATCTCTTTCATATCAGGTGCCAGCACTGAACCAGCTGAATGCTTGATTGCAATCTCAGTTGCCGAGCTTACAGAGCTCAGGGAAGACTTTTGCCCCGACCATTGTGGCCATTTCAGCACACATCGTCTGAAGGGAGCCACTTGCGATGCTGGGCGAAACAGAGTTGTGGACCAAACTCTGCAGAAAGCCATTGGGAGACAAGTTCCTTTCCATATTGCATCAGAAGGAAATCAACAAACTGACGTTACCGCTTGACTCAACAAGCAAGGTCCACAAAGGTCTGTCCTTCAAACTATATCTGGTTTTGCGATGGCTTAAGCATCCGGTGAAACATGTTGGCTTCGGATGGTTTCGGGATCTCATCATATCTCATCTGCGGTTGGAAGCAATTCGTGGCTGTGCTTTGTTGCATCAAATCATCGCAAACCTAGCAAATGCAGCTGAGCCAAACAGGACGGACGAACTGAGGCAAGCGACAAACGGCCTTATAAATGAAGAAACATGAAGACACATTCAGAACCACTAAGATCATAAACAACCTACATCAATGACCATCAATATCATCAATGTACATGTTGAATGATCTGCGCTATTGATGTCGACATTCGGACATGCTGAGGACATGGTGTTCAATTTTTCTCACTCTTTTCTTGGCGGAGCTAATCGTCATCATCTCCGAAAATGGATGTAAACAAAGACTTGGGTGGACGTGTCAGCTCACCGCTCTCGGCAACCTCGGAAAACAAATTATCACTTTGAATCTCGGCAAAGCATATCTGGTACCCAAGACGCCAGGGAGGCAACCAAATGGATCCAAACGGTTCGAAAACAAAGGGATTCACCAACGCGCAACATTTAGTCCTTCACGGCCAGATTTGGAGCAGGATCAGCGACAGGCTTACGCCCGGCTTGCTCAGCCGCTGCCTGTTATCTTCTGCACTTTCACATCGCTCTCTGTCTCTCTCTCTCTCTCTCATCACCAAGTAAAATGCTCTGTTCCCTTCCTGATGGCTAGATTCCAAGTGAAGCCGGAGTGACAGCGACCTCTGCAGGCTTTTTGGTTTCTTTGCCCTTGACCTGTTCAATAAACTGGTATTGACTTCAAGAATACCAGAACAAATCAAATCAAATCAAGCAGAGTTTAGGTTTTGCAAATCCGTTTTTGCTTGTTTTAGAACGTTGCCATACCTGCTCGTTGTATTTGCGCTGTTGCTTCTTTGGCTCAGCAGCTGGGCGGTCACCTGAAAAAACAGCCATTGGGCCATAAATTTCCACTGGTCTGAGGGTCGGTCCATATCTTTTTCGTCGCACATGACAGGGACTGGGACACAAACTAAAGCCACTTGGCCGCGGCTCAGGCCTCAATGCACAGGAACCGAGAAATCGAATCAAACATAATCAAACCCATGAAACAATGTGGTCAAACATGATTATTGCAAATGAACATCTGGGGGTTTCCTGTTGGTCCCCAAATTGGCTCGATGGAAGGACTCAAATCTGTGGGTTGGGAGTTGGGTCCTCAAATTTTGATCATACCCGCGTGTAGACCGTAGACAGTTGTTAGTTGTCCCCTCTGTCTGATCGAACAAAATGCTCTCGCGGCTAAGTTTCCCGGCACACCCCACCGCCTCAAAATCTTCAACAATTTCTAGCTGTGAAAGCTTCCAAATATCCAAAAACTGAGCAGTGATGGGAACCAGTTTCGTGCCTGCACAGTAATTTGTCTGGAGCCCACGGGGTGACTGTCCTGGTGTCAGTGCAGTGAATAGCAACGACGACCAGGTGACTGTCACAACATGTTACACCCCTTGTTGCCTGCGAATGAGGGGAGCTGAAGGCTGTGCGGAGCCCTGCAAAGCGGTCAGAAGTATCTTGTGAAGGTTTCCAGACACGCCCCTGGAAATAGTAAGGCAAAATGCATGTGTTCTGCCAATGGTTTCATGGCTTTTGGTAGCAACCAACACAACCAAACTATGTTCTTCCAAATCAAGCTGCTGAAACCTTGCACTGTTGAAGCCAACTCTACAGTATGCCGCTACGCGCTGCTGATGCATTGCAAAGTGCTTGAAACTTGCCTTAGCACTGAAGAATATGTTTAGCAGTGGCGTGGCGTAGGCCGGTTGTTTTCACCATGAAATCCTTACAAATCCTTACAACATCTACAGTGAATGTGCACCTTCTCCTCCAAAGCTTTCGCTATGTCTGCATCTGGATTCTGCTGCCTGCGCAAAAGTGCTGACTTTTTAAATGTGTTTTCAGAGTCGGCATATCATGGTATATGCAGTATCTCCCAAATAGGCATTGAAATATCCCAATAAATAGCCATTAAACGGCTTAAATCCCCATTTAATGCCATTAAACATCATCAAACCGATTGAAGCCCCATGTTTTTTTTTCCACCTTTCGTGCACTGCTGGCCTGAAGGATCTGTAGACGCGGCCGAACTCCTGAAGCTCTGTCTCACGTTCAACCTGGCAAGGTGCAAAGATTAACAGCCCTGCCTAAATGGACATAACCTGGACATTCAGGATGCGGCAGTATTGAAACATGTTTATACATTTGGATAGCTGATCAATGGTTGATATATATATATATATATTATGTATGTATGTATGTATGTATGTATGTATGTATGTATGTATGTATATATATATATATATTGAGATAGACGTTGATTCAAACATATTCAAAGACGTTGATTAATATGATAGCTGTTGCATGCTGTTGCTATATGTTGATTAACATGGTGATAGCTGGTGATAGCTGGTTGATATATGGTGGTCTGGATGGATCCCAAATCCAAACTTGGCACCTCGCTGAGGCCATGCGACTCCTTCAGCGCCTCCGAAAAAGCCGCCCTGCCTTCCATGGCAAGGCAGAACCTGGGCAGGGCACCAAGGTGTACAGCCCATCCTACGAATTCCTACGATGCACTGATGCACTGGCAGAATTTCGGGCTGGAAATGACACAAATCTGAGCAAACAGCTTTGCATAGCGCTTTTGCTTGCCTTGGGTTGGATGATCTGCTTGCAGTACATGTGCTTCAACTATCAAGATATTGAACTGGTTTGCAAAAAACTCCATGCACCTGGTGCTTGCAAGGTGCTTGGGTCATTCTTGAAAGGCTCGTGACGAGCAGCCTTTCCATCCATGTCCTGCTCAGCTTCAATACGCAAGTCAATCCGGGATTCCATTGTGTTGCATACGACTATTGCATGATTGTCGTACATTTTGGCCAGCTCGTAAATTGTAGGCCCGCTGCCAGACTAGTAAAGTAGATACACATTTCCGATAGCTCTGCTCCAACATGTTCTGAGCAAATTCAGCTTCCTACTAGTAGTGGATTTCAGTGCAGGATTTGTCTTCCAATAGACTGCCACAAGCTCCTCCCGGCCGAAAAAGATTACAAACACTATCAAGATTCCAACCCTCGTTGCCTAAGTTTGCAGGGATCTCAAACTAATCGAGCATTGCCATATAATATACAACATCAGCAAGCAGTCCTGGGTGGCGCCAATGACAAAGTTCCTGCCCAATGCATTCAGCAAATTTTGCTTCTGATGCTCTGGTACAGCTTGCCACCTCAGTCATTCTGTTTCTGTACATGTTGGGATTTCAGCAACAGGTCCCAAAGAATCTGAGGGATTCGACAGAGGTTCAGCAGATCGTTGAATGGATCTTTGCTGATCCTCCTGTCGCTGAGATCCGTTGAAGCATCTTATCCCAAACCTCTCAAACATCTCAAAGTCACATCTGCCAGCCTCAGTTGGTGGTCCAGGAGGTGCAGCTACCTAGACGTGGCGACATCCCGATGATTCCCTATGGGCCAGGTTGAGTTTTTTCCGCCACAGTAGACTCAGTAGATCGTAGATCTCAGTGGACTCTTCAGTTTTTGCAGTTTGGGATGTCGGCCTTGGCTTCTGATGCTTCTGCTTCGGCCTCTTTGGGACGAGTTTGCTCTCCCAAAAGCTGGGCTCGGAATGCAGGATCCATCAGCCGCTGCTGACCATGCCTGAGAGCTTCCAAATCTTCCAAACTCGCCAAGGTTCTGGGGAAAAACATGGAAAAACCATGGAAAAACCACATCGATCAAAAAAACATACAAAAGCTGAGAACAATTGAGCTGCTCACTTGTCTTGGAATTCTAACAGTTGTTGGTGTTCTTTGCTCCCTTCTTGGGCTTCCTGCCGCTAGTGGCTGGAGACAAGAACACATGAAGCATATTATTCAAGAAACCAACACCAAAAGTGCCTAGCAATTCGATGCAATCCGACACTGAAAGTTCCTGCAGTGGAGACACTTCTATCAGATGGACGCCCTTGTAGCCACGAGGCCTGTGATGGAACCCCACACCAACCAACATCATCAACATCGACACTTCCAAATGTTCAATATCAATGCTGTTTCAAATAATGTCAAATGAAAGATCTTGCCCAAGCCAGTTGGCCGGCCAAGGAGCTGACACTGGTGGTGGATGCCATCTGGAGAAATCACGCGTCTCCTGAAGATCTGTAAGCTAGTCATTCCAAGACTCCTACGACTCCTACTGTTCTTTTCTTTTCTGACCGTGCAACGATGCCATTTCGCCTTGTCTGGCAGCTCAGCTTTGACAAAGCCAGGGACTTCTTCTGGGGCCTCAACGAAGATGAGGACCGGGTCCAACTGCGCTGAATCTCTGGCAGCACTGAGATCCAAACACCCTCTTTGGACCTCGGATGACTCTCATTCACACTCACAATCATCCACATCCAATCCACATCCCTCATGCAAATGCAAATATTGTACTTGCAAAATCTTGCAAATACTTGCAGGTTGCCACCTTTTCCGGATCTTGTTGATCTTGTGCGCTATCTTGAGTATCTTCTCCGAGTGCCGGTCCTGGGTCTGATGTCATCTAGAGCTGCAAGACGTACTTCCTCCACGTCCTGAGATGCAAAGTCGACCACGGTGAACGTTCTGCTAGGCCGCACTGCGCTCTGCTAGATATGGAATCGTCAATCTTCTGTAGCTTCTGATGATGATGGTAACTTCACCTTGCCTCATCCTTCAACGCTGGATGGTAGTGCACCCGCTTGTCCGTCTCATGCTCGTAGACCTTTTGTCTGACCACTGCATTTTTAACATGCGCATCATAGTTCATCGATGTTCATCGTATCATTGACAGCAAGAGCAAGGTCACTTAATCTTGAGATCTCTACCTCTTCCCAAACCTGGCCAATCCGCAATTGAAAGCCAATGATGCCAATGATTGCCAGATATTCTCGGTGGTGACAGCGATGCTTGGACTAGGTGACAGGCATCGTACTCATCTTGATCCAGCACTCCGGTCCCGAATTGGGAATATCCAATTGCCTAGCTGCCAAAACGTGTGATGCCAGGAGCTGCCACAGCCTAAAACAACAATATACAACATGAATCGAAGAAAATTGAAGAAACAATAAGAAACACAAGCAGCTGGCCTTCGTAGAAGATGACACATTTTTGGCTCGAGCTGTTGACATGTAGAGTCGGCGGTTGCTGGGAATTCCTTAGGCACTTAGACGCTCTTGCTCCCCCGCCCAAAATGCGTGACACCAGCACTGAACTTTCCATGATAATTGGCTATGTACTCATGTTGGATCTACAATGATCTACAATGATGTACAATGATCTACAATATGTCACTTTCTGCCGCTGCCACTGCCACAGCCAGACCCTCCGCCCAGAAAGTAGCCGATTCCATGGAGGTCAGTTTTGCCTAAGACAAAGTCAACATGGATTTCTATGGATTTCTACTACACAGTCTGCACATCTCTGCACACAGTCTGTTCTAAACTTGCAAATGGCCACTGGGCCTCACTGGGCATATCTGGGCATGGTATGGTCAACGTCCATAGGACAAGCGACTTTGCCAAAGTCGTTCCAGTTCTGCCTCGAGTTGTCGCTCAATGGCAGGAGCCTTGGCACTGCGACGTGTCACAGAAAGTCTTCAGGATCTTTTCAGGATCTTTGCGTTGCTTAGGCTTTGACTTGAGAAGCATGAAGCGTTGCCAGCCTAAGTTCTTGGGGACATTTCATGACATTTCCAGAAAATAGACGCTGAGAGCCCCACTTTTTACCTGGCCACTGTTGCAACTCTACACCTGCATCATGACTCTCTGCATCATGACTTTCTGCATCATGACACCATACGTCATCGGTCATGAATCAATATCAAACAAATTCAGACAATACGAATCACGAATCACATCCATTCACATCCAATATATCCAATTAATTCCAATTACATTTGTCCAGGATGTCACGGCAGCTTGAACGCAGCAGTTTTCCACCTCCGTCGGGCTGCGCTGACTCTGACGGCTTTGCAGCGTAGCCTGAAGCAACTTCTTGACAGGTCACGCCGTCATGCCAGTTTCAAGCCGTTCAAGCCATGGCCTGGAGGAGGTGGAGCACAGCCATATGACCTAAGGCAATTGGATGCCATTGGGCATTGCAACCGGATTCTGCAAATTCATGCAATGCCATTGGGCCCCTCAAATCTTCTCAAGATTCCACTGGATATCTCTGGCAAATCTTTGGCAGCCTCTTCGCGAAGTCAGGGCATCACTGAGTCTTGAACTTTTTGGCTTTGGGAGCAGTGGATGGGGCTGAAGGTGTCGAGGAGTCATTCTCATTCTGAGGAACGATGCTTGCACGCCTGGGTTTATGGCAATTCATTCTGATATTCCATGGATTTCCGTGGAATTGCTACGTATGATATTTCATGAATTTTCATGATATTCCCGCTGCACAGGAGCACAGGCGCTTGAAAGCCGCTTGTAGCCTGCTTGCAGCTGGGTCACAGAAGGCGCGTGCCAAGCCGCTGAGCCCCAAAAAGCCTCAATGGATCTCGAAGGAGTGGAACAGAATGGAACACAGAGGCATAGCATGGCATAACACGGCATAACTATGCAAGACTTGCAATTTAGTTATAGTTTAGCTATATTTCGTTGGTCTTCATTCAGTCCAAGCTTGCGACTCTTCTTCCAAATCCTGTGAAATTCCTGTTGTCAATGCAGCTGAACCTGGAGCTCAAAGTGGCTGTGGCGTGACTTGGTGCAGTGACTCACATCGTCTTGCCGTGCAGGTAATCACTTGAGTCATGTGCCCATGCCACGAGCTTGAACTTGTCGAGATGCAAATTCATCACCTAGGACAATCAACAGAAAATCATGGATATGATTTGGACATGAACATGTATAGAGATCAGTTAAAATGCTGACAGCAATTCGATGTGACTTGTTTGGCTAATAAGACTTGCTATCAATGCCTCAGCCAAAGCTCAGAACGGGCTGCTATGGTCTTGCGCGACGATCTGTGATCTCGTAGGTCCTCAAGAAAGATTATATTAGCTCACATAGGCTGATGGCACATTATAATGCCTTTCATGCATCGTCATGCAACTGTACCAGAGTGTGACGGGAAATGAAACCCAAACATCAATATAGATCCACCGTTATCCACCAACAGTGGATCACTATCTTCAACAAAGAAATCTCTCATTGAGGAGCAGATATTTCATGACATTTCATGAATTTTCATGATATTCCTGTCTCAAGGTTTTTCCTCCTCATCCATGTAGTCTTCAACTCTTGGAGCAGCATCAGCATGACGCTTGCTACGGCCTCGATGGCCATTTACAGATCTCACGCATGGAGCAGCGACAAGTCCGATTGTATGTCACGGTAAATCATGGTATATCATGCTAAAATCTGTTTGCACGTAATGTTTTAACATGTGCACACAATGGACATTGAATGATACTGAATGGTAATTAATGAATGATAATGAATGCTCATGAATGATAATGATGGATAATGATGATAATGATGATAATGATGGAACATCGATAATGCATGATAATGAATGCTCATGATGGATAATGAATGATCATGACTGGTAATGATGGATAATGAATGATAAATATAGCGAGAATGAATGACAAATGATAATGACAGATAATGATTATGTAAAGTACCCAAGCCGGGATCCCCACTCGAGCTGAAGGAAGCTGGTTCCCAACCTTCTTTGCTCCCTACCGTACCTTAGGAAGAGGACACATGTATGCTGCACATTGCTGCAAGATGTTGTGCAAAAGCACACTCAAAAAAGACGAAAACAGGTGTAAAAAGCTGATCAAAAACACCCCCAGTTGCTCAAACACTCGTGAAACTGCCGAGGGACCCCAATATCCTGCGCTGAAGCCGCCTTCAAAGGCTCCATAGAAGGTGCGTTCGCCGCGCGACTCGAGAGGTGGGAGAAGTAATCACAGTCACACTTTCAAGGAAAAAACAGGACAGGAGTACGACGCCAAGGTTTTCAAATTTCATGTTATATGTATATATATATATACATATAATTATATATATGATTATATATGGTAATATGTTATGCATTGTTATGCTGTATCCAAATGGTGCCTCATCGAATCATTTGGGCGGTCTAGCATCAGTGAGGCAGAACCACTTTCTAGGCCTTTGCGATGCTGCCATCTGGACGCTTGACTTCGACATAGCTCTCCTGACATGCTCAACAAACCCGACTTCAGCCAACTTTGAAAGCCAAGAAACGTCAGAACAGGATCAAACAGGAACAGGGGTACCCTCTTGGAGCGCTTGCCCAAGTCGTCTAGCTCATCCACATCATACCTGACTCAACAGCTACGACTTAGCCTGACTTAGCAGACTGCTTCAGTATTTGTCCTTGCCTGGCAACTGCTTGGCCCAGGAAGGTTTTTGCGCCTCAATGCAGCAGCATTGATTCATTTCATGCAACATGTTAACAAACATGTTGGAACGGAACATGCACGGAACTCCTGACCAAACTCCTCTGCTTGGTGTAAGCGATGGGCTTGACGGGCTCTTGAACTTCTTGTTGCTGGCTCGCATGGTGGGCAAATGGGAAAGAACATCTGCTGAGAATGATAGCTATACTAAGATGCTGGAGGCTTTCCTCTTCTCCAAAGAGGAACATGACAGCAATTTCAACAGTACTTTCCAGGTTGATCTGCTTTGAGAAAGACGTGAGAGGCTGTTGCCACCTCTCTGAGTGGACTTCCGTAAGCATCAACAGTCTACAAACGAAAAAGGACATGGAAACATGTGGCGATTTGCACGTGTCTTGCTTTTAGCTGACTTTCCACGTCCTCTTGCATTCCAACTGCTTCCGGACAGCGCTGAAAAGTGAAACCGTGCTTTCCGTTGTATAGCTTGGTCATCAGCTCTATGAGTTTTCGAGTTGTGATTCATTGTGATTGCAAGTGTCCACATCCTTTTTAAACACCAGTCTTCCGCAATGGGCGGCATAGACTAACGGATCTAACAGACAATTGCATGATAGCAAGATGTTTGTACAACGTCCTCCTCGAAACGGAGACAAATCAAGGCACTTGCGCCTTGAAAATATCGGCTCCGAGATCCGAAGATTCAACTGCCTCTTTGAGCAGAAACAAAGAGTTTCACTAATTGACTTTTGCCCTGCCATCAAAAATATCAAAAAACATATGATGGTTGGAACTTTTGTTGAAACTTAAAACCTGCGTTGATACCTGTGAGATCCTGTGAGTCATTTTGATGTGCTGGGCCGCTGAAGCATGTCACTTGGAGAAGTTATTCTCCTAGATTCCTACCCTAGACGTTCCCGATCTTTGACATCTGGTTCTTCAGGGTTGTAATCATGTCCTGGTATCTCTCCTGGCTGGCATTTGCATCACATACGTAGCATCGCTACCTTCCACAACCTCTTGATACAAGCTTGCAACTACTTGTCCTTGGCTTTATCGTCCAGTTCAGGATTCCTGACTTGCGAATTGGCAAACAAGTTGCTGTAGCAGCAGCAAATTCATGCAATTTCCATGTCAAGAAATCCAGTAAGCGCAAACAGCCCTTTACTACTCTGCAAATACGCACATCGCTCCAAGAAATGACATTCGGTGCGGAAGAGCTTCTGCAACTTAGAAAGACAAATCTGCATCTGCTTTGTGAGCTTTTCCAGCATCTGCCTTTCAAGCCATGAAGCCAGTGCAAGAAAGGCATCTTTTCCCACAGTTCAGAAGTGAAAAGCGGACCTAGTGTCGCCTTAGTCTCGCTATGTTTCGCCCCACGAATATTTTCAATCATTCTAGCTTCACTACCTTGGCTCAAACATATCCGTTGTATCCGCGCCTATGAGCAGGATCTTCTCACAACATGCACAAATGGGAAGTCTTGAAAACCCCCGGCAAAAGCATGCAAAAGCAGTGGACGGAAAGCATCACTAGCCCCGCTTACTACAACCAAATAAACAACCGACGCGTGACGCATGTAAAGAAATTGTTGAGTTCCGACTGGAATGTATTCTGAACAATGGTTTGAATGCAGCATCCACCAAGACAAGCACAAACAATTACTCTGTGCTTCCCAGCTCATACTATCTCCGTCTGCATGGTTGCAAATGCTGAAGTTGCTCTGTACTGCACAACATTTAACATCATCCACGACAGCAATCATTGGCGCACCTTAGTTGTGTGGCATGTCCAACAGGCTTAAAACACAAAGAAGAGCAAGCCTTCTGCCACTCGCATATCCAGATGCGACAATCACTTGTTCATGGATAGTCGGTACTTAAACATTGAAAGTTGCCTGAAAAGTTTACTATCAATCCCACCCCATTCCCTCTCCCTGTCTCTGTTTTTTTGGTCACAGCTTTCACCTATACATTGTGAGCCAAAAACATGGGCTTGATGGCGTGTGGTGCCCCACGTGGCGCAAGCCAAGCACTTGGTGCACGAAAGCAGTGCTCTTGAGCACGAGCCCACTGGAAAATGCGATCTGTCATTGAAATTCAACTGACGAAAGCTGGCTGCTTTGCAGTGCTTGGTCCAAAATCGTACTAATCAAATCTAAGCGTCTTTTCAAGAGTTTTCTCTTTCCGAACCTACAGCTACGTAACTGCTACATATTGAACGTTCAGGGTGGTGTGCAAGTCAAGAATAGTTTAGAGGAGTTGGGGGCCTAGACCTCGAAAACACAGTATCGCATCCTTCGGGTTGCTGGTCTTCGCTCGACATAGTGGACAGCTGGGCGAACGACCACACTTTTTCACCCATTCAAACCACTGATCCTCAGCCAAAGATGAGGTGATCATAGGTGATCAAATTAATTCAAATTATGCGATTCATTGCGATTCAAGCACGTGTGTGGAATGTGCCAGGAGCAACTTTCTGGCATCAAGTGTTGAAGCCGAGCATCGCAGCACTTGCGATGGAAGATGTGTCCGCAAAGCAACGTCTGGGGTCCGCCGTCCAAGTGAAGTGGCTCTTGACAAATAACGCAGGCCTGGCCGGCAAATGTCGAACTTTAGAATCTGATCTGTGAATAAAGCCATTTGGGATACCATACCATGTAAATATAATGCATATAATTGTATATATAATATTATCAAAGGAAGTTTAGGGGGAGAAACTTCCGTGTTACGGACTTTTAGAATGTCAGGGAAAGAGTTAGTCAAAGAAAGAGTTAGTCAAAGAAACAGTTAGTCAGGGAAAGAGTTAGTCAAAGAAAGAGTTAGTCAAAGAAAGAGTTAGTCAAAGAAAGAGTTAGTGAGGGAAAGAGTTAGTCAAAGAAAGAGTTAGTCAAAGAAATAGTTAGTCAGGGAAAGAGTTAGTCAAAGAAAGAGTTAGTCAAAGAAAGAGTTAGTCAGGGAAAGAGTTAGTCAAAGAAACAGTTAGTCAAAGAAACAGTTAGTCAAAGAAACAGTTAGTCAGGGAAAGAGTTAGTTAAAGAAAGAGTTAGTCAAAGAAAGAGTTAGTCAAAGAAACAGTTAGTCAGGGAAAGAGTTAGTCAAAGAAAGAGTTAGTGAGGGAAAGAGTTAGTGAAAGAAAGAGTCAGTGAGGGAAAGAGTTAGTCAAAGAAAGAGTTAGTCAGGGAAAGAGTTAGTCAAAGAAAAGAGTTAGTGAGGGAAAGAGTTAGCAAAGAAACCGTTAGTCAAAGAAAGAGTTAGTCAAAGAAACAGTTAGTCAGGGAAAGAGTTAGTCAAAGAAAGAGTTAGTCAAAGAAAGAGTTAGTCAGGGAAAGAGTTAGTCAAAGAAAGAGTTAGTGAGGGAAAGTCAGGGAAAGAGTTAGTCAAAGAAACAGTTAGTCAGGGAAAGAGTTAGTCAAAGCAAGAGTTAGTCAGGGAAAGAGTTAGTCAAAGAAAGAGTTAGCAAAGAAACAGTTAGTCAGGGAAAGAGTTAGTCAAAGAAAGAGTTAGTGAGGGAAAGAGTTAGCAAAGAAACAGTTAGTCAGGGAAAGAGTTAGTCAAAGAAAGAGTTAAAACTCTAGGATCGTTCCCTCACTGTAAATGGCATTGCAAGTGGTGCTGGTGGAGGAGTTGCCGATGGAGTTTTGGAGGAAGTCTCGCACGAAATGCGTTTTTGAGAGATAGCAGATGCACGAAACCCTATGTTTTTCCATACAAAGTCTGTCCCCGAACCTCGATGATTTACCTCTGCGGTGCGACGGGTGCGAGACGGTCTCGTGTGTGGTCGGATCATCCTCGGATTGGTCTCGGATCGGTTCCGCATTGTAAATGGGGTTTCAACTGTTTTTCGTGCATGTGTGGTCGACAGAATTCCATTGTGATTTGCAACTGTAGGATCGTTCCCGCATTGTAAATGGGGTTGCAAGTGGTGCTGGTGGATGAGTTGCCGATGGAGTTTTGGAGGAAGTCTCGCACGAAATGCGTTTTTGAGAGATAGCAGATGCAGGAAACCCTATGTTTTTCCATACAAAGTCCGTCCCCGAACGTCGATGATCTACCTCTGCGGTGCGACGGGTGCGAGACGGTCTCGTGTGTGGTCGGATCATGGTCGGATATTCTCGGATCATTCTCGGATCATTCTCGGATCGGTTCCGCATTGTAAATGGGGTGTCACCTGTGTTTCGTGCATTTGTGGTCGACAGAATTCCATTGTGATTTGCAACTGTAGGATCGTTCCCGCAATGTAAATGGGATTGCAAGTGGTGCTGGTGGATGAGTTGCCGATGGAGTTTTGAAGGAAGTCTCGCACGAAATGCGTTTTTGAGAGATAGCAGATGCACGAAACCCTATGTTTTTTCATACAAAGTCCGTCCCCGAACCTCGATGATCTACCTCTGCGGTGCGACGGGTGCGAGACGGTCTCGTGTGTGGTCGGATCATGGTCGGATCATGGTCGGATCATGGTCGGATCATGGTCGGATCGGTCTCGGATCGGTTCCGCATTGTAAATGGGGTTTCAACTGTGTTTCGTCTATGTGCCGTCGACAGAATTCCATTGTGATTTGCAACTGTAGGATCGTTCCCGCAATGTAAATGGGATTGCAAGTGGCGCTGGTGGATGAGTTGCCGATGGAATTCCATTGTGATTTGCAACTCTAGGATCGTTCCCTCACTGTAAATGGCATTGCAAGTGGTGCTGGTGGAGGAGTTGCCGATGGAGTTTTGGAGGAAGTCTCGCACGAAATGCGTTTTTGAGAGATAGCAAATGCACGAAAGCCTATGTTTTTTCCATACAAAGTGCGTCCACGAACGTCGATGATCTACCTCTGCGGTGCGACGGGTGCGAGACGGTCTCGTGTGTGGTCGGATCATGTTCGGATATTCTCGGATCGGTCTCGGATCGGTTCCGCATTGTAAATGGGGTTTCAACTGTTTTTCGTGCATGTGTGGTCGACAGAATTCCATTGGTGGAATTGCAGTGTAAGGATCGTTCCCCGCAATGTAAAATGGGATTGGCCAGTGGGTGCTGGTGGAATGAAGTGTGCCCGATGGAACCTCCCATTGTTGCTTTGCAACTAGGAATCGTTCCCCCGCCAGTTGTAAAATGGTTTGCTCAAGGTTGGCCCCTTCGTGCCGTGGCCCTGCATTGGTAATACTATTGTCTTTTGCAGCTGGACTTCGTAAATCGTATTGGAGTGGCTGCATGAAGGCTGCCACAGTGATTTGTCAGCAGATTTTCTCCATTTTGGGGCTAGCGATTTTCCTTCTAAAAATCCTTTTCAAAAGTGCTTCTAAATCGTCTTTTTTTCGCTCTGGCGTCGAGATCCGGTTTTGGAGCTGCAATTTCCGACCCAGTTGCGCGTAGTTCTATTGTGTTTGCAACTCAGTCTCTGCAGATCGCATTGTAATGGCTGCGTCAAGGTGCTTCTTGCCACGGCTGCATGCGTAATACTATTGTCTTTTGCAGCTGGACTTCGTAAATCGTATTGGAGTGGCTGCATGAAGGCTGCGACAGTGATTTGTCAGCAGATTTTCTCCATTTTGGCGCCAGTGATTTTCTTTTTAAAAATTCTTTTGAAAAGTGCTTCAAAATCGTCTTTTTTTCGCTTTGGCGTCGAGACCCGGTTTTGGAGCTACAATTTGCGACCCAGTTGCGCGTAGTTCTATTGTGTTTTGCAACTCAGTCTCTGCAGATCGCATTGTAATGGCTGCGTCAAGGTTGCTTGGTGCCGCGGCTGCATGCGCAATACTAGTGTCTTTTGCAACTGGACTTCGTAAATCGTATTGGAGTGGGTGCATCAAGGGTTCGACCGTGATTAGTAGTAGTGCTGGGAATTGATTAATGAAAGCTTAATAGATGACATATGAGAAGGGACGAGATGAGAAGAGATGAGCTGGGATAAGGTGAAAAGAGCTCAGATGAGATGAACTGTGGAGTGTGAAGAGTGCAGTGTGAAGAGTGCAGTGTGAAGTGTGGAGTGTGAAGTGTGAAGTGTGAAGTTTGGAGTGTGAAGGAAGCAGTGAGAAGTGAGACGTGTGAAGTGTGGACTGTGAAGTGTGGAGTGTGAAGTTTGGAGTGCAAAGAGTGCAGTGTGGAGTGTGAAGAGTGCAGTGTGAAGTGTACAGTGTGAAGGAAGCAGTGGGAAGTGAGAAGTGTGAAGTGTGGAGTGTGAAGTTTAAGTTTGGAGTGCGAAGAGTGAGTGTGAAGTGTGAAGTGTGAGGTTTGGAGTGTGAAGGCAGCAGTGAGAAGTGAGAAGTGTGAAGTGTGAAGTTTGGAGTGTGAAGGAAGCAGTGAGAAGTGAGAAGTGTGAAGTGTGGACTGTGAAGTGTGGAGTGTGAAGTTTGGAGTGCAAAGAGTGCAGTGTGAAGTGTGCAGTGTGAAGTGTGAAGTTTGGAGTGTGAAGGAAGCAGTGAGAAGTGTGAAGTGTGGAGTGTGAAGTGTGGACGGTGAAGTGTGGACTGCGAAGTGTGGACTGTGAAGTGTGGAGTGTGAAGTGCGAAGTGAGAAGGAAGCAGTGGGAAGTGAGAAGTGTGAACTGTGAAGTGTGAAGTGTGGAGTGTGAAGTGTGGAGTGTGAAGTTTAAGTTTGGAGTGCGAAGAGCGCAGTGTGAAGTGTGAAGTGTGAGGTTTGGAGTGTGAAGGCAGCAGCGAAAAGTGAGAAGTGTGCAAGTGCGAAGTGTGGAGTGTGAAGTGTGAAGTTTCGAGTGCGAAGAGTGCAGTGTGAAGTGTGGAGTGCGAAGTGTGGAGTGTGAAGACTTTGCTTCGTCTCTCGCTGAAAAAAAGCCGCTTGTCGAGGGAAGGACACGGTCGGGACAGGCTGGCGTCGAACTATAGGTCATTTATGTTTGGGAAACTTCCGCCGCCGGCTTGCCCGGGTCTATGTTATAGTATTATATAATTTATATAATATAGGTACTGAAGCCTCAAACCGTTGGAAATTCTGCATGTTTCAACATCATACCAATGAAAACGGAGTAAGCAAAAAACACATCGAATTTCATTGGAAGAAAAGGGCTTTGTCATCTATCGTCCACAAGCAAACATCAAGCAGTTCATAGCTTGTGTCTTGTGTTATCTTATGTCCCTAAATCCGGACTGAATCCAAGGGGAACCAAAGCTCATGGCGCTGGAAACGAGCTTGACATCCAAAGTCAGATTCAAGGAGAAAACCTGACCCTCAAAACTCCAACGACGTTGCAAGAAGTCCAGAGTGCAGGTTTTGGGGGTGCCGGAAAGCTGAGCATAATATGTGAAATTGACATATCTTGAAATTGTTGTGAGAGCAAGCAAAAGTTGGCTCAAATGTCTTGGGAGTGCGCGCGACTCGAAAAGGATCCAACGTAAAACCTTGTCCACCAACTCTTTCCGTAGCCTCACCAGAGGTCATACCCATAGCGCTGGAAATAATCTCAATTGCTTCTCCCTTGGCAGAGCCAGTCTTCTGCAACCTGGGCACCGGGGTCCGAAAAGACTCCTTACCAAACATTGCAGTCATGCTAAGTTTTTGGGAGACACAAAGGCAGAGATGCAAATACGGACTGAACCCCAGCAGAAAATAACAGAAATACATTGGTTCACTTGCTCGCTCGGGCAGGAGGCATTTTATTGGTGAACGATTCCAACTAATTAAATGTCAGGAAATACATGGGAATACCACCTCAGGTCCCACCTAAAGCCAAACATATCCTCATGATGCCAAAATGCGTTTGCACCCGCTCCACCAACTGGGGAAATCTTTGACGCCTTAGTGCTCAAAACAAGGATATTGGCATTGGACTCACCGACCTGAACTATATCTTGAGAAACCCATTGTGATCACGATTCGCTTAGCAACTGTGAAGTGATTCGTCCAACCCAATGGCAATGGTTCACCACAGTTGATCGAAAACGGCACTTATATAACCAATACATCCAACACCAAACTCCTTGTGGCATCTTGTGGCCAACTTCAATTCTGTGATGCTCCTGATTTGTACAGAACAAGGCACGTCTGATCGCAAGTGTCTGGATCAGCCTCTGGCAAACAGCGAAGTGCATCAGCAGCAGTCAAACGGACTTCATCATCCTTGTCGTCAAGGGCTACAACAACCAACATCTCAAAGAGCGTCCCCTCAGCACCGTTTCGGGGCACTTGCCACGAACCTTTGCACAATATGCTTTCAAGGGACAAAGGTTAGCAAATTTTTGGTCCAAGAAGCAAGTGCTAGGTTGAATTGCAGCTGGATACCGTATCTGGTATTGTTTGCCGGGCGCTGCCAACAAGCAATCAAGTTTGAAGTTTGGGTCTGAGAACCAAAGAAAAAAACAACACATATCATAATTATCATATCAGATTATCAACATATTATCAAGACATTCTCCAATCGAGAAACTGATGTGAGCACATCTGACTGTGCTTCAGCAGATAGACCCAAGGACCCCAAGAGTTCCTTGGCACCTCCCCGAGCGATAGCGGCCAAGGTGGCGCAGGTGCTGGTTCTGATTTTTGGACGAGGATCCCTGCGAGGTGTGAACATGTCAGCTCAAGCAGAAGCGGATATCAACTCTATCCAAACGCTGCACTGTAGCTACAGCATACAGCATAACACAAATATATATATATATAATTATATATATATATACATACATACAAATATCACGTTGTATATAGAACTCAACAATACACAGCATATGATTCTAAGGTTTGAGAAAGGTAGCAATAGCCATAGGAAACGGGTGCCCGTCAGGTACAGTCGATGTACAGCCTTGCCTCTGTGCCGAGTTCAAAAGGAGGCCAATTCCATTTTGAGACATTTTGGGAATATCATGGAATATCTATACGCACTCCACTGAAACTGCATCAGATTCAGATCAAATTGGAGCTGTCACGGGCTGGGAAAAAAAGGTTCTTGGAATGGCTTTGGAAATTACTTTAAAATCTTTAAACTGGGCAAACACTTTTTTCAGGCTTCGCGATAGGGTTGGAAAGTGTTGGATAGCGTTGGTAGTCCCAGGCAACCATAGTAACATGTTGTATATAATGTCATCTTGTTTGAAGCTCCCAAAGTGTCTCTGGTTGTTGCATGTTGTTGCCAGCAAACTCATGCTCAGGCCCTCAAAGAATGCTTTTCTTTTTGAGCTGTTGGACAACTCACTACTATTTTACTAGAGGATGATCTGGCAATTTTGGCACTCATGTGTGAACGAGTAGGTGAGTGAGCGTATTTTGTGCGCAACTTGGAAGCTTCTTATCTGATCTTCCTTCAGTAGAAAACAATCCAAAAATATCATGAACAGTTTCAAACAGCGCAAGCTGAAATTACTTCTCGTTTGATACCACATGATGCGACATTGCCACCTGATATGACCTGATGGAACGCGAATGGACCTGAACGAACCTGAATGTTTTACCACCTCGCCTCAAGCCACCAAGGAGTCGTTCGACCACCCTCGCTACAGCAGTTCCTCCTCCCGCACCAGCAATGGCACTAAGGGCTTCTAGTGGTGCCATCAGAGAAACACCATTGGCCTTCAGGGTTTGTTGGGTTTGGGCTTAATTAACCCAAACATGTTTACAACACCTTGGCCTCTTGGTGAGTCCTCTAACCATTCTTTGTTGCTGGAGATTGCCAGACCACCTCACACTTTCCAACATATGCCATTATGTCATAATCTTTCTACAATTTTTCTACATTGTACATTGTACATATTTCGTCATCTTTCCACCTTCTTCAAATTACTTGTAACACAGTCAAATATGTTCAAATCCTCTAACTCGCCTGTGTTACCTCAAAGCACAGCATGATGCTGGTAACGTCTCGGGCCACCATCGCAGCGGCCCCCTCTTCTGCCAGCACTCGATACAAGGCTGAGACCTTCCTTTGGACCAAGACGTTCTCGTCCTTCAAACACGGCAGCAGGGCATAGGCATGCGTAGCCACGGATATGGCATGACCCTTCTCCGTGATCGATCGTAAGGCTCCAAGGATGGCCAACTTCACAGGTCCAGATTCACCAGCTTTCAAACCTTGGCGAACACCCAAAACTTCGACGTTCAGTTTGCAGTTTCTGGAAACATCTAGAGAGTATCCCTTTTCAGATTTTTTAAGCATATGTGCCGGCGCTGTGCCGGCAACTGACGCTTTCGCCGCTTTCGCCTTCTCACATCGGACATATCGGACTGATCTCGGTGCCTAGCCTATAAAAATATGGCAGTGTGTCAAAACCTTGTACCCCTGTAGTTCACATCAAAATAGCTGGGATTTATGGATGTTCATCCCATTAATAATGTATCTATAGGTATTGACCCATACCCATATATAAAAATACCATTATATACACTTCTGCGGATTGGGAGGTGGCCCGGCTTTGACCTTATAAATACAGTGACCAGGGCCATCCAGGGGTCCAAGCAGTTCCTGGTGGCTGAGAGCAGAGCCTACCTCCCCACGAGCAAAACAAGGGCTGAGCTGATAAATGCGACGTATTGTGACACCAGTACCAGAAATAGCAACGAAACCAGACCTTGTCCTGACAAACTTTAAGTCTAAACGCGTTCCTAGCTTCCATGCAGCATGGGCGTCAGATTCTTTGCCAAGGCCTTTGCCAAGCGATCACCTTTGCACAACGAAGCTAGCGACTCAGCTGCTTTTTCTCGCACCTGCCGCAATTGCTGTCTTAGGGTTCTGGCGGTGGTGGTCATCGACCATTCACTTCCTACATCTTTCTACCAGTCTGTTTGTGCAAACTTAGCGCCATGTTCTGATTGGCATGCAAAATGGTGCGGAGTTTAATAGATGGGACGTGGGCAAAACTGGATGGGCACCGCAGCTTTTGTGCCATGAATATCTATGAATGGCATTAATCAATTCATCACAATTCAATACAATTCATCTATTGCGTATGTGTCCTGACCTATCGAAACAATGGTGTGTGGAACATATGGTCAAGCTTTCCATGCATTTGCTACAGTAGAAAGACTCATCATTGTCTCTGAAGCTGCCGGCACCTCGTCATCTCTGCTGCACAAGTCCTTGACAGCGACTTCAGGACACAAGAATGTGAACGCAAAACTAATTCCTTTCGCATGAACAGGGGAACTCTTTTCCGAATCTCGATCCCACTTCCAGAAGTCTAGGAGGAAACACACCTACGTATGTGACCGTATGTGTGAAAATCATTGAAAATCTATCCTACAAAGCACCAACTTCTGCAGTTGATTGGACCGATGATTGTTACAAATCAAACTCAACAAAATCACATCGATGGAATTGCAAAATCAAGTGCTGATGATTCCTACCTCCAGAACATTTGGAACTGGTGCTTGGAATAGGCTGAGAGTTCAGGACACGCTCAGGCCCTCTGAGAATTGCAAAAACTTCGCCAGCAAGCCACTGTGTACAGACTGTTGATCTGCTTCTCTTCGGCTGGTGTGGTGAACTCCTCCTGATGTACAGGAATTCAAACGCACATGCGTAAACTTGCTCGGCAAGCAAATTCTGTAGTTTCAACGGACTTTTCGATACCCTAGCTCTCTGCAGTATGAACATTCTAGGCCATGTCCACAAATCATGCCTTTTCACATCATTTTTTCTAGTATGTTAAGGTTCAATATTATGGTTCAATGAGTGGAGGATTTTGTTCTATCCTTCGCTGTGTACTTCATCTTCTGTCGAGCACGAAGCCATCTGCTTGGTGTTCCACCCACTGCTTCCAAGGCTGCGGTTGGGCCAACCCCCAAAGACATCAGCTGTGGAATGCCCCGCCGATGCAGCTCATGGCATACGGCTCTACAAATGTGTAGGATGGGTGCATTGATCCTTGACGTTGCTGAGTGCCATTTGTGGAAAATGCTGTTGTTGAGTCATGAATCATATGAATCAGCCATAACCGTCAACTTTTGTAACTCGCTATTGAATTTTCAAGACCCCGTCGTAACCTGTCTGACTTTCAACCACCTCCCCTGACCAACACACACCTTGATCCACAACAGCATGGAGGCAACTTTGAGGCGGAATTGTAGGAAAAACAGGAATGGGTGCAAGTTCAACACCAACTGGCGAGGTTTCCAGTGTCAAGACTTAAGAAGAAAAGTAAATTGGCCTCTTGCCATCCTCCATTGCCCGCTTCTTCTCCGCCAATTCCTTCTGGGCCTTCAAAACAGCATCTCCAAACCCAAACAACAAGGTCAACACAATTTCTGTCATCCTTCTGTCATAGACAGCCTTGTCTGCCTCTCTTGCGCCATCCGAAACAACAAGCCTCAGTCGTGGCAGAATGTTGATTGTCTCCATCACATGACTGCTTCAGGACATATGCCGCATATGCCGCTAAGCTTTCAAAACATAGATAACTTGCGACTTTTTGATCTGCTCTTTAGTTGAGAGGCGTCATGTTCTGCAAAGGCATGTTTGGGCGTCGCAAAGGAGAGGCGAAGGTCCTTACAGCAAAGCTGGCATCGCACCCCGTATCTTCTGCGCATCCTGATTCATTCTGTACCAGCACTGGGCTCCAAACTTGCTCGGCACTGGTGAAGTGGGCACCTTGCAGAAATGCAGAAACTCCCCTGGCTGAAACCAAGAAGGCAGTCTATATTATCAATATTTATCAATTCTATAACGTCTAATTATGTCTAATTCATGCCAGCGAACGTCCATGAATCTTTGTCAAGAAGTTGCAAAAAGGATCAAATAGGTATGTTTCTGAGCAAGCAAACCGTCTTTGCTAAACCTCTAGGTGGAGCAGCTGGCCTCAGGCGACACTTGCTGCGTTGGGTTCTGTCTACAAAGGTAGACCAAACATGTTGATTTTTGAGATACACAGAAATACTATGAAATACTAATGGCCCTCTTACAGTTTGTATATTTCTTTTGGCCCATTTCTTGGGATCTTACATTTGGCACACAGGCTCTGGAGTGGCCTTGGCTGCCTTGCAGTTTTAAGCAAGATTCAGTCAGACACTGAGAGATTTGGTCTTGGTCTTTGTATTTTCTGGCCTATCTTCTTTAAAACCTTTTTAGCGACTTAGTGCAAGGATGTCTGAGGCAAGACTCATTTTGCTCTGCCAGGTCTCAATTCCAGCCTTCTGTGGCGGCGATGTAGGCTGTCCTCAAACGCGAACTGCCCGATTCGCTCTGTACTCTTGCTCCTTTTATCTCCTTTTGACTTGAGTCACTCTTAGCCATTGGAGCAATATGGAGCGTGAGTTTTCAAGTTGTTTTGATGGTGCGAAACATGTTCATGGGAACCCTTTGGGCTACAGAGCAGAAATTCCGGATACTCTAAGCATCCAACTTGGAGGTCCACCATTCTCCTGAACAAATCAATGTGCTCCCAAGGTCCAGGTCTTATCAACTATTGCTCTGAGCTAAAATTGCGACCATATTTCGACTTCTCGGATGGCTTCATGCAGTGATTCAAAAACACAAACTCTTCTTGGATTGACACTTTCTTGCCTTCGTCCCAGGGGGACACTGAGGTCGTACCACGCCTGGAATCCCAACATCCTGCCACAAAAAACAGGAGAGCATAGGAGAACGCACCAAACTTTGAGACCTTTGAGCGTGGGTCATCAAGGAATATCAAACATGTGGCTGTGGGCCGTTCATGGCCATTCTTGAGCTTTGGTTCCTGCCTCGTCATCCGATTCCTCTTCCAACTGTCTTTTGGGCCGTCTTGGGTCAATGACAGTCTCAGTGCGGGCAAAGCGCTTGAAGACTACTCTTCTGGCATGTACTGACATGTACTGACTATATACGCGAAGGCATCTGAATGCTCTGGCAACCAGATCAACGAATGCTGCTTTTCATTGCGTTTCTTTCTCTGTGCTCCAAGCAGATCGGACTGCATGACGATTTTCTCAACCATTCCTTTTCTTTTAAAGGACTTTTTGTAGATAGGAAGGGTCACGGCTAGCCTCTGCAGCAGAATGAACGATCGCAATTTGCTGGGTTCCCAACCACCTTGCGGCTTGGAGGCTCGTGCCTGCCCTGGCCGATTTGCACTTTCCAATGACGTTCTGAGCTCAAAAGCTACTGAGGCAGCCGGACACCGCCTCTGCCGCCACGAAAGTGATGGGATCACGTTTCTTTGCAGGCTCGTCTTCCTCTTGGACCTCCTGGATGCACGGTCTCTTCTCATCTTCTACAGTAGGAAGAAGAGACCATGCAAGCAGGCTCGGTCTCAACCGAGCACATTGAGAGGACATTAGGACAACAGGAAGCCGCAGGAAGCTGCAGGAAGCCGCAGGAAGCCACTGCCTTGCTATCCTTGCTCTGTGTTGGCGTCGTTGATGATCCCATTACAAGTTCACGCCTTGCAGGCCAAGGAGTTCCCAAACGAAGTCGCAACTGTCACCGCACCCCTTTGCCTGGCTTGTCCCGCAGGTAAGCTGCTTCCAATCTGGGATGCCGGAAATTTGCTGGAAAGGTGTGACTGCTGGAGTGCAGGTTGTATTCGTATCCATTTGGCATTTGGCATGTTTGATTTCAAAGGTGTTGGTGGTACCTGGAGGTCCTGAGGCTGAAACACCACCTCGCTTGTCCAAATCCTCCTTTTCACGAGGTTTCTTCCTTTCCCTCGGATCAGCTCAAGTCAAACCCAGGGACCTACATTCACTTCTCTCTTTCCATGCTTATCATGCTTAGTGCAAAATCTAGAATATACATATTACATCATATTACATATTAATATTATCATTGGTCTAGACTTACACTCCTCACTCCGTGATCCTGCTTTGATGTGTCATGTCTGAGTCTTGATGATCCCTTGAACATACTCAAAGGATCTCCAAGGTCTGGACGGCAGTTCGCCTCGCGCTTCTGCCTTTACAGCAGTTTATATAACAAAGCTATGCAGCTATGTGTTAACTTTCGTAATTCCTTGCTGCTAAGGTATTAGGGTTGTATATAAGCCATGCGGGTATGGCAGAAGGGCTTGTGAGGAAAGATATGAACGCTACTCTGATTTGAAGGAATTGAAATAAAACCGGGACCACGTGCATGAGCATGTGCTTCGAAAATCAGCATGGTGGCCCAAAGTGAAGATGCAAACATATAATCGGAGACAGCTTGAGAAAGGTTTGCAACACTGTGATACACATCTGGACAAACTGAGCAAAGAATATATATATATATCAATACATTTTGGCAACAAAACTGCTTAAATCATTTGCCAATGCAGCTGCCTTCAAATGGCTGATGAACTTGAAATAAGCTTTAGGATATTTGCAAACCAACAGTTTTAGCTTGACATCCAGTTCCACTGGGTTTTAGGCAATTTGTGTTGAATCATGTAATTGCACCCATCCACATGGTTCAATTTGTGAAGATTTTGGGTGACAAAACTAGTAGATGGTGTCAGTGTCGGCCAAAATAAAGTCGTCGCAGAAGACCACAGGAGTCACAAAGAACCGAATGCAGGCACCTAAAGAAATTATCCAAAACAAATATTTCCAATATTTTCCAACAGCTTACTGGACTTGTTCCATGACCATGGTGAGCTGCCGGCAAGAAGGCCATTGAGAAGTAATTTACATGCTTCAATGATCTTCAGTGTTTGTTTCGCTTTTGTTTGTCAAATCTTGTTTCATTATGTCAGTTTTGTTTTAACTGTTTTTTGTTTTTTGATGTAAATCGACGTTTACTTTCTTATTGTTTGCAGCCAGAAGCCTTGCAGGCTGCTCATTTTTTTGTTTCAGCAAAGGCCCGCCGCAGGCGGCATTTTTGAGTTGTGGGAAAAGTCAAATTTCCTTACATTCTAGGCCAGCCCCTCAGCTAGGAAATAAGGAAAATAGAAAAACAATTAATGAGAAACACATACAAATAAAACATGGCAAAAAAAAACATGAGAACCATGCATTTGGTAACAAAACGAAGAAAAACTATAGAAACGTAAAGGAAACCGAGGTACATAGAAACAACCAATGAACGAAAAAAAGGAAAACACAATAGCAAAAAAAGAAAAAAAACACGAATAGGAGTAAAAAAACAAAAAGCCGAAAAAACAAAAAAAACAACGGAAACAAATAAATGGAACAAAAAATGAAAAGAAAGAGAAAACAAGGAACGAACAAAAAAGAAAAAACAGGAAACAAAAACGGGAAAAGAAAAAAACAACGAAAAAAAACATACGAAAAAAATAGATGAAAAAAAAGGAAAAAACGGAGAAAAAAAAGGAAAAAAAGGAAAACAAAAGGAAAAAACACGAAAAAAAAACAACATAACAAACGAAATGAAAGCAAAGAAAAAACAACGAAAAAGAAAAAAAATCAACGAACAAAAAAAAAACATGGAGAAAAAAAATTCGGAAAAAAAAACGAAAAAAACAACGCGAAAAAAAAAATAAATAAAAAAAACATGAAAAAAACGAAAAAAAAAACGAAAAACATCGAGAAAAAAATCAAAAAAACCCGCGAAAAAAAAAAAACGAAGAAAATCGAGAAACACAAATCGAAAAAAAAAACGCGAAAAAAAACACCGGAAAAAATCGAGAAAAAAAATCGAAAAAACAAACAAAAAAAATCGAAAAAAAAAATGGAAAAAAAAAGGGCGAAAAAAAAAAAACGAAAAAAAATCTTACTTCAGGCAAAAATACCTTAAATTCAGCCTAGGGTTGAATTTAAGGATGCTGTGATGACTTTGGCATAGCGAATTGCAAACAAAAAGCCCAAAACAATGAAAAATATCAAATTACTATGCCAAAAAAAGAAATTTGGCCTACAAAATCCACTCCAAAACCAATATTTCTCATATTTTGGAGCAAAAATATAGGCCAAAGTCATCACAGCATCCTTAAATTCAACCCTAGGGCTGAATTTAAGGTATTTTTGCCTGAAATAAGTTTTTTTTTTTTTTTTTGTTTTTTTTTTTCGTTTTTTTTTTGTTCGCCTTTTTTTTTGTCGTTTTTTTTGTTTTTCATTTTTTTCCCCGATTTTTTCGTTTTTTTTTTTTTTCGTTCTTTTTTTTTCGATTTTTTTTTTTTTAACCGTTTTTTTTTCCGTTTTTTTTTCCGTTTTTTTTCTCGATGTTTTTTCCGTTTTTTTTCCCGATTTTGTTTTCCGTTTTTTCTTTTTTTTTTTTTTCGCGTTGTTTTTTCCTTTCCGTTTTTTTCTTTTTTTCGTTTTTTTTTGTATTTTTTTTCTGTTGTTTTTGTTTTCTTTATATTTTGGATTTTCTTTACCTTTCCATTTTCTGTTTCTTTCTTGTTTTTTTTTGGAAATGGTTCTAATGTATTTTTTTTTTGCTTGTGTGTTTTTTCATTATATATTTGTTATTGTATTTTCCTTATTTCCTTAATCTTACTGGCCGGCGTTGAATTCAAAGAATTTTGACTTTTCCCACAATTATATGTTGCAGGAAAAACATATTTAAAAAGTTTATTTCAGTGTTTTTATTGGAAAATTCCTTGTGTAAAAAATCAAAAACGGTGGATTTTGCAAAAAGATCAAATTTCATTTTTTTTTGAAAAAAGAAACATGGGAAAAAGTCGAATTTCCTTAAATTCAAGGCCAGCCTTTGAATTTAAGGATTTTGCGGAGACAAAAAAAAACACACAGAAAACATAAACAAGAGAAAAACATAGAATGAAAACGCAAAAAGGAAATAAATGAAAAACTGAACAGAATTAAAAAAAGAAAACTAGAAGAATTGAAAACAAGGAAAACACAATACATCTATTTATTGTTTGTTTTTTCATTGCTTTCAGATTGATGGAATTAATGCTTCCTGGGCGACGATCCTATGCTCAAAAATGTCGCCTGCGGCGGGCCTTTGTTAAAGACTACCTTTTGTGAGCAGCCGGCGAGGCACAGGATTCTGGCTGCAAAAAAAAGAAAGTAAAACTGTACTGAAATAAAATAGAAGAAACAAATGAAAAAAATTAACTGAACTCTTGGCCGTGTCCCGAAATTAATTGCGCAACCCTGTCTTCGCAACCCTCTCTTCAGCCAAGAATCCCCTACATTTGATCTTATGAATTTTGCATACTGCATGCACCTTATTTCGGGGGCAAACCTTAAAGACAACCCCGCCACCTTCCACAACTAGATTTTCACAGCTGTCCAATTTTAATTCAATGATTGATTTTTTAGTGGGAAAAATCATACAAATTGATGGTTTGTTTTTGTAAGATCGACTTGGCCTCTCACATTTTTGTGCTGTGGGGCACCGTGCACATAATAAGATTTGTGGGACTTCAACTGGATGAGAATCAACAAATGCGAGACACGCCCAGGGCCTACAGGAACAAAAAACAAGCTGAGAGACAGCGTCTTACTGAACATGGGAACATGTACCAAATATAAATCAATACAACGATCAGACCATAAGTTCTACATGGGCAAGCTGGCAAGCATTGCCCAGTGGGGTTAATTGTGATCTTTATCTCGTGTTCAACTTCGTTATCAAGGTCGGTGTAGCCCCCATACCAATTTCAATGACCGTCAACACTACCTAGCCTTATGCACAACCCCCCGACCTTAAATACAACCACCCCCCATGAATTACGAAAGTTAACACAGCTATGCATATTTCGTACAGCATCTTACAGCTTGAGAATCATTCTGAGCAGGTCATCTCCACGTGACAGTCATGCGACCGTGGACTTCCTTTCCCTGCAATCCAGCTGGTCTCCAGCGCCTCGGCCTTTGCTTTCAGCTTGGCAAACGCCGCCCCAAAGACGCTGCTCTTGGCAGGATCGGGACCTGCAGCTTTGTTGGCCTCAGGTGAGCTCAAGTCTGCCAATGTCTGCCACCAAACTGGGTCCCTCTGCGTCTTTTGGTGTCTTCTGTTTTGATCTGTTTTGTGTTGTTTGTTGCTTGATGTTGCTTGGGTTTGTTGGGTTCAAGAAGCTCAAGAGTTTGCTTGCAGACATGAAGTACAGTGCCACCAGAGCGATCCTATCGCTGGGAAACTCTCTGGGCACCGCACTGGCTCTGCAGGCTTTTCCGATAACTTTGGGGACTTGGGAGACTTCGGACGAAGATCCGGACTCGCTGCCTGGGCCGGCGGTGCAAGTGCCAGAAGCCTCTGGGTTGCGCCAAAATTAGCAAGTGCACCACCAAAACACGGTTAGGAGTGTTAGGAAATGTTTGGAATCCAGGAAATGACTCGAACTTAAACAATCATAAACATCGTGAACAATTAATCAGTGCGCCCACAAGACTCACCCGGGTGCAAGAAGATCCTAGAACTAGAAGCCCGCAACGCATCGCAACGCCAATTTTCTACAGCAAAATGCGGCATCTTCAATGTACATCCATGTGCAAGTACTGTGGTACTGTTGTCGCAAGCCAAGTTGCAACAATTTGCTGCAAATTCTCGGGGCGAATTGCCAGCTGGCCTCTGTGCGTTGCCAGCTGGGGCTCAAGTTCGAATTGAAAGTTTCGGATCTCGTCACAATGCCTGAGGATGCGACTTCCAGACTCCAGCTTCACGACGATTCTCCCAGGCCTCATGTCTATGAAGGTCAAACCACAAGTTACCATTCCTACTGCTACTCTTCCATATTTGGCCTGACATCCTGCATCTCCACAACAACCAGGGAGAGTACTGGGAAGGATCGTTGACCCGCAACACTTCAGCTTTGCAGCCGTTTAGCTCCGGCCTACCAGCACAGCTTTCACCACAAGCGCCACAAGGAGGCACTTATGCTAAGGTTGACCGATGCATACCCGTCACAATCGCCACATCTGGACCTCTTCTCAAGAGCGCACAGTCTCACCATCTCTGTTTCCTGTGATTGCGGGGAAAGAACAAGAATATGTGTATTCATATTATATCTATCTGAACAAGACTATTGTTAATATATTGCATTATATTATGTTATGTTATGTTATATTATGTTCTGTTATGTTATATTATATTATTATTATTATAATATTATATTATATTATATTCAACAACTACAGTAACAACTGCTCGTAAGCAATCACTGAACAGAGAATCAACTACAACTCCCCCATCTCCGGCGCCTACCCCTTCCTAAACTATCTATCCGTTCTATGGCCAAGAACGCCACAGCCACACAAACTACTGTAGGGATCCCAACAAGGTCTCTGTCTACATATTTCATCCCATTTCTACGAAATTTTACGAACAAAAAATGGCCTTGCAAATGAGTCAACTTTGACCCAAGTCAAAGCTATCTCTTGTGAAAATTTGTGGAATGTCCTTGAAGGCCACCCCAGCAACAGTTTGGCTGAGTCTTGGATCTTTGGGCCTGACACCAGGAAACGCCCATTTCATCAGCACATATGGATTGCCTTGTCCTAGCAAATCTTGAAACCATACGGTGTGTACCGAAATTGATCGTTGCGTAACGGTGATGGTGATTTTTCTGAGCCAAGCACCATGGTACGTAGGGTATGGAACAATCGGTATGGTATGGTATGGTGATGTATGGTGTGAAATGCAGTGGTTTAAAACTGCATGTACTGATTTTTTTGATGATTCACGAGACTGGTCACTGGTTTTGAAGATTCCAAAGCGAAGGATTTGAAGAAACGCGTGCGCACATCCTTTCCAAACACGGTAGCCGTGGGAAGGAAGTAGATAATCTCTGGATAATATGTCCGGATTGTTCACCTTGAAACCTGCAGCCTCTTCCCTAGTACCGTTGCATCAATGCCCGCCTTGGAATTGGAGATGCCTGGCCATTCAAACAACATTTGCAAGGGCAATGGGCCAACATTTCGTCCGGCTATTCTCATTTTCGAAAACCGTGAGTGATCATGAGTCTGTAATTATATAATATTAATATTATATAGATACACAGAACACTGTCGTGCAATCTACGAGTCTACAAGCGCCAGGCCTTATTCTCCTGGTCAAGCCAAGCGAGGAAATCCTGCGGTGGCAACTTGCAAGGAGGCTCTTCTTATCTTACAAAAGTTTGAAATGTATGCGATATTCATATGCATTGGCATAGTATGATGATATATATATATATATTTGAAATTATTGTTACATTAACTTATAATTTTCATAATAAGGTGCAACAAAAAGGACAATTGAAAAAATAAAAGGAAAAAGGAAGGAAAGGAGAAAAGGAAACGAAGGAAGAAGAAAGGACAAATCAAACAAAATTCACAAATGAAATGCAGAATTGGATCCAAAATCAATTTTGATTTACTTCAGAATTCAAAAAGGAAAAAGGACGGAAAGACAAAGAAAAGGAAACAAAGGAATACGAAATTCAAATTAAAGTAAGGCACATAAGCGGAACTCAAAACTATATGTTTTAGTTTAATTCAAAATCCAGTTGCATTTATATAGTTAAGTTTAGTTCTATTGCTTTGGCATTTGGGAGAAAAAACAACGGCCTGCAGAAAGCAACGGTTCAATCACCTTGGACAACAAATGGTATGGCAACTGCAAGAAACGTGGGCACTGCAGGTTGAATTTTCTTCATCAATTTTGCCCATCGCGTGAAGGCACACAACAATATTTGCTTCGTTTCCAGCAAACTTAATGCACTCTCATATGGTTACAAGTTATCGTTTTTTTTTGGGCCCCTATCGCTTTACATGGTTTGGTGCACTTTCTCAACACAACTGGACCCTCCCTTACTAAAGTAGTCTACGCTCATTTTGACCAATTCATATATCAATTATCTATATTGTTTGTAGTGGAGATATGTGGAAATGTTGGTGATTTCACCAACTATGCTACGAGTTTCACGGGCTACGCACAAATGCAAAATGATGGATATCACAGTGTACAGTGTATCTGAAGGCAAATTTGATCAAGCAGTCACAGTACGGTCAGAGGTGATCAAAGACGCTCCTCGAAATCTTCTGTCTTGGCTTCTGGAGGAAGATGAGGCTTCAACTCCTCTCCTCAGCGCTTCGAACAGGAAAGATCTGCAATATTCATCGATATCCAACGATCTCTTGAGATCAGTTTCTCACTTGGCCCAATTGAGCGCCAACATGTTCCAAACAAATCCATTACAAATCCAATGTCTTGTGGAAAGAGATGACAGGATGACACAAATTGATTGTTTGAACTTGAACATTCAATAAAATTAAGGACAAGAGGGCAGCAGTATCGCATTTTCATTTCAGCAAAGGTCCGAGCCTGGAGTCTCGCGATCATATGTCATCATTTCTCCCAAACTCTTCTGAAGCGAGCCATGATTGAATGCCAAAGAAGACCGTGCGACACAACGCATCATAGCGTCGCTGGTCCGGAACTGATCAAAGAATATCAAACACATTTGCTTCGTCGTTGTCATTGATCCACGATCTTTTGAGCTCTGGCTGTGTGCAACTTGCTCAATTTTTCCCACCAATAGGCCTGATGTTCCCACAAAACACCTGAACATGTCAGCATGCATACTCCATGCAAAATATCCAGGAAAATTCTCAAGAATGTTGCTGTCTGCATGCCTGGATTCGGATCATCCTGCTCAACTTTTGCCATGTTACCATATGTTACCTCTCCCCTGTTCTTGCTGGCCCTACGACTGGTCCCAGGAGTGCACAGTGCAAAGTTGTTTGAGCTTGGTGAAAGATGGTGAAAGATGGTGAAAGCTCTCGCGGTTTCAGCAGAACAACAGCTGCTCTTGATTCCGCAGCGATGTCGTTGCAATGTGTTCTTCTTTTCAGTGTCATATCAGAATCTGGGCCTTTTGATCCTTTTGGCATGAGCTTCGAACACCTGAGATTCGATAGAATTGTATTCCTGCTGCTCTCTTTGCATGCGTAGAAATATCTCATATCGAGCCTTGTGGTATTCTTTCAAAGTTATGTCACTTGTCGGTTCCAATAGCTTCCCTGTTTGAGACATTCCTCGCATGGCTTCGTACACAGATTGAAATTCACCAGATGCAGTTGCTGCTAACATGGCACTACCACGAATGACATCGGCACCAGGGTTGTCAGTGCAACAAAAAGGCAAACCAAGAACATCACAATGCTCTTGAAGGTAGAGACTGTTTTGGGCGAGCCCACCACAAACATGAACTGCGTGAATGGCTGTAATACCTTCCCTTGCCCTAGATGAATTGATGGTATCCACGATTGCTCGTGTTGAGTACGAAAGCGCTTGCACCATGGCCAAATAAAGAACTGCAAGTGCATCGATGGAAGTAGCTCTCATGTTATCTCCTGCAGGGCCCAAACCTATGATGCTGCCTCGCAATGAAGGATCTGCCAATGGAGATCTATTGCCATTCAAGTCTGGACCAACAAATATGCCACGCGTCAGAAATGACACCTGACTTGTATTGCGCTGTTTTGCCAATGCCAGAATGTGTTCGCAAAGAAAATCTACAGGCTTTGCTCCAGCGGCACTGGCCTTTTTCTCTAACGCTGGAAAAGATGGATGTGTTTCCATGACATAATCCAATGCAGCCCCGGCGGCACTTTGCCCTGCCTCATGCAGAAAAAGCCCTGGCACCATGGCAGAGTCGAAGGGTCCCCAAACACCTGGGATCAGAAAAGCCTTGCTGCTTGAAGTCATGTGACAAGCAGAGGTGCCTGCAATCAAGGCCATGCGTGCTTCCAGTGGCGGCCAGGAATCTGCAGGTGCTGCACCCAAACAGCCAAGGCCGCCCGCATGAGCATCAATGGCTCCAACTCCCAAAGTCGTTGACTTTGACAGTCCGAGATCAGCCGCCGCCTTCTGGCCGAGGCTGACCGCACTGCCAAGGCCTTTCACATCACTACCCTTGCCAATCTTGCTGGTCTGCAAATCTCCCAAGCCTGACATCTCAAAGAAGTCTGGAGCCCAATCTCTCTTCTCCGCATCAAAGTTCCACTTGCAAACCACGGTGCACTGGCTGCGGATGCCAGCTGCAGTCTCTCCACCAAAGTCAGAAGCTCTATGCAACAAGTAATCTGCGAGGTCATAAAAATGAGTGGCCGCGGCATAAGTGTCCGGCCTATATTTTTTCAGCCATGCCAGCTTGGGCAACTCCATTTCTGGAAAAACTTTCCCACCCACGAAGTCCAACAATCTGTGCTTGGACTCGTTTATCATACTTGCTTCTTGAGTTGCTCGATGGTCGCACCACATGATTATATCATAACCAGCTCCAGATCTGCAAGGGACATCGTCCGGAAGATCATGTCCCACCGACAATGGCACATTGCCCTGAATTACCAACGAACAAGTCGCATCAAATGCAATGCCTGCGACATCCTCTGAACTCCTTGATGATTGGCGCAAAGCTTGGCGAACTGAAGTGCAACACGCCCTCCAAATCTCCTCAGAACTCTGTTCAAAATGCCCTGGTTCTGGTTGACGAATGGAAATGCTGCTGCTTGAACTTCCGAGCAAATGCCCAGCGTCGTCAAAGACACCAGCTCGGACACTGCCAGTCCCAACATCCACTCCAACAAAGCAAGTGCTCTTTGACAATTTCGACATGGTTTGACCAAAGGAACTTTGTTTGATCCCAATCAGCTATGTCGACTATGACTAATTAAGTGAGATGCATAACTGCATAACATGCCTGACAATTCTAATTGCATCAACAAGGTCGTTTGCAGTAATGCGCTACGCTCTGGGTCTTCTTGTGGTTGGCCAGAGAACTCTGCAACTGGTGCAACTGATATCAACTGGTGACATCAATGTAGCGTCTACGATTTGTCGAACAACTGTTACTCTGGGCCACATGAGGTGCTTAATGTTGCCTTTAGCTTGTAACGCACTCAACTAGCCAATAGTTTAATACATAGCAACCACAAAGTGTCCTTGCTGTCTGAGTCCCACACGTAGGATTCCAGGGTTGCAGTCTTGCCGTGCCAAGCTCCCACACACCAACCCCACTAGCACCTGGGCACAGAGTGACAGTCGTAGTCAAACTGCTTTGTTTATCCGTCTTCTGGCACGCCCGTCGATTTCTGGCCAGCTATTTACCTGTGGTGCTGCATGTTGTGAGTGGCACCTTTACATTGCCGATGTCACCACCCTCCACGATTTTCGAACCCTAGCGTAAAACTCTGCAATGACACACATATCTACGCTTCCGCACTGGAAGCCCATCACATTGAGAGCCGACAACCTTAGATCATTTCGGCGCAATTGTTTTGGTTTTCCAATCATTAACCAGTTTGCCTTCTCCAAACACCCTGTGTAGTGCTATTGCAAAATCATTGCTGGGACATGCTGCGGAACCTAAGACTGCCATGACTTCAAGCGTGTTGAGGCCAGGACTTGCCGCAACCTTTCAGTGATTGTAGCCTTGGACGGGCACCCATCGCAGCAACCCCAACAGTCTAAGCTATTCTATTCCAAGATATTCCAAGTCGTTCTAAGCCAATGAGGTTAATCAACTGGCTGCATCCAAAAGGCTGGCTGTAGTTTTGGGCTGCTGCTGCTGGTGCCTGGGTGGGCCCAAACAAACACGTTTCTTCTGGGCAGGCTTGAAGGAAAAAAGGGGGAACCCGGGGAACTTGGGAAACCAGGTATTTTCCCGGTCAGAAACTGCAAACAACCAGCGATCAGCTTGCACAGTATATTATTTATTCGATGTTTAAGCATTGACACGCATTGACATGCATTGACTATCTCGTGCTTCGGATTTCCATCATGTACTGATATCAGTGACACAGCGTCTGGGGCAATGACTGTTTCCGACAGAGACAAACACCTTCTGGCTCCACTTGGAACATTACGCGTCAAGGACAGGGATGATGTCAAGTTGTTTTTTTCTTTATGCCTGCAAAGAGACTTGCACATACTTGCACCCTGTCCTATGTCAATATACATGTTCGATCACTTTTGGTCCAAGACAAGAAAACACATGCCTCTTGCTCCGGTGCGCTGCTGCCTGAGCATAGTTTGCGTGAGAACGTTTCTGTTTTTCTTCGTTTCTGTTTTTGAGCAAGTACTGGACAATCTCATGAGTTTTGATTTGTGACAAAGTGTGCGAAATGCTTCAAGATCTCGAGCAAAACACTTGGACCATGCTTCCTCCCAAACTCAAAGCTTTTTAAATGAACATAGCTGGCCTTTACCCCGATCAGCACTTCGACTTCGGTCGTAGTCAGGATGAGACTCGACGCCGGGACTACTGCTCCTGCAGAGTATCGCTCCACGTGAAATTCAGAGGAACCTATGCCGTCCACAGACACACACACGCACAACTTTTCTTCCACAACTCGCAAACATTATCAAACATTAGTTAATATTGGTTATATTAGTTTAATAAGCAAAATGATGCCAAACGTACCCGAACCTTTTCAGACCTGGATGGACAGCAGTGAATTTCATGACGGCTCAATGACATACAAATGCGCCACATGTAAGAAACATTTAGCGGAGAAGTATGAACCACTCCTGCTGCGGCCACTGCCACGGATGATGGCCCCCAAGGGAACATCTGTTGTGGTGCCTTTCATTGCAAACTGAACAAATGGGGGTTGTACGAGACAATCGTGAGAACAAGCACTTGGCCCTGTGCCTGTGAGGATAGTTTTCAGATATTCTTTTAAAATCGATCAAGAAACGTTTGCCACCTTGGTGAAAATATGCGAAAAACACATAAATGAGAGTCAGCCCAAACCTGCAAGAGACATGCCTAAGGCATCAATCTACCCTTCACAAGTGGTCTTGCTTCCTGCTGTTTTGTTTTTACAGTAGGCCCTCTGCGCAGTCGTTTGCTTTTGCTCTCAACTTCGTAGGGTCTTGTTAATCTGCCGACCCCTGCCGTCAGCAGGGGGAGCGCGTCAGAGGAGGCCTTACTAGCAACAAGATGCCAGAAGGGGCGAAGAGTTTGCGCAGAACGAAAGCCGGCTCCAGAAGGACACGAGCAGGGTGGCAGTTGGCAATGTAGAAACGCGGGAAAAGTCAAGGTTTGGAGCTAGTTTCTAGTCGGCTCAGAAAGTGACGTTTGGCAGTCTGGGATACGGGCCGCGGGCCCAATCCGTCCTTCACTGCCATGGTGTTTTAGCCCTGCGACACGGTCCTTGGACTCCAGCTTGGACCGAAGCGGCGCAGAACGAAAGCCGGCCCCAGGAGGACACGAGCAGGGTGGCAGTTGGCAATGCAGAAACGCAGGAAAAGTCAAGGTTTGGAGCTAGTTTCTAGTCGGTTCAGAAAGTGACGTTTGGCAGTCTGGGATACGGGCCGCGGGCCCAATCCGTCCTTCACTGCCATGGTGTTTTAGCCCTGCGACACGGTCCTTGGACTCCAGCTTGGGCCGAAGCGGTGCAGAACGAAGGCCGGCTCCAGGAGGACACGAGCAGGGTGGCAGTTGGCAGTGCAGAAACGCAGGAAAAGTCAAGGTTTGGAGCTAGTTTCTAGTCGGTTCAGAAAGTGACGTTTGGCACGGGCCGCGGGCCCAATCCGTCCTTCACTGCCATGGTGTTTTAGCCCTGCGACACGGTCCTTGGACTCCAGCTTGGACCGAAGCGGTGCAGAACGAAAGCCGGCGCCAGGAGGACACGAGCAGGGAGGCAGTTGGCAGTGCAGAAACGCAGGAAAAGTCAAGGTTTGGAGCTAGTTTCTAGTCGGTTCAGAAAGTGACGTTTGGCAGTCTGGGATACGGCCGCGGGCCCAATCCGTCCTCATCACTGCCATGTGTTTTTTAGCCCTTCACACTGTCCTTGGACTCCAGCTTTGGACGAAGCGGTGCAGAACGAAGCCGCTCCAAGAGGACACGAGCGGTGGCATTTGG